GCCCTACCAAAAATATTTTCCACCGGCCGCCACTGCTCGTAAGGCTTCAGTAGAAGTTGCTGGAAGTCCCAGCAGCTTCTACTGAAGCCAGTCCCCAACTCGGGGGACATCCGTCCGGGGACTCCGGGTGGCAGTATATGCCGTGAACTGGTTTGTGGCCTGCCAGTAAACCCAAAGCAGAAGAAGAAGAAGTGACGTCAGCGACTTCATTTGCCTAATCCTCCCTCAGGGACTTATTCCGGTGTGAACGCGATCTGAACTTAGTTCATGAGAACTAAAGAGTTCTGATGAACTAAAGTGGGAAAAGTACTGCGGTCTGAAAGTGCCTTATGGTTAATGTGCATTCAGGAAAGCAAGTTCCTTTAAGGGCGAGTGGATTTATGGCGGGCAGTGAACCGACGATAAAAAGAACGGCTCTCTCCAAGTACGACTCGGTTCCCTTCGTTCGTACCAAAGAGCCGTTCAAAAGAATCTGATCGTTCGCGAACGTCACATCACTACCATTACGCAGCGTCCACACGGCGGCCTGCGTTGAAGCTTGCCGGCGGGCGTGTCTGAAAATCGACCAACAACCAATCACATGAATCTCCCGCCCCGGACACAAAAGCACGCGGTTTGATTAGCTAGAGCTTGTACTGGCATATGATTTGATTGGCTGACGCTTCCGTCGAAGCTTCAAAAGTTGAACTTTTCTCAACTTTTGAAGCGAGCAACGCAATGCAGTTCGGCAAAGCGTGACGTCACCCCATTGAAAGTGAATGGGAAGAAGCGTTGAAGCTTCAACGCACGCCGCCGTGTGGACGGCCGTTAAGGCATCAGGTGATCAACTTTTTATTTGTGTTAGTCTCTATTGAACATTCAAGACATAATAAGGTATTTTATACCCTTTTAAATCAGTTAATTATTCGGTTTCTACCCCAAATGCTTGCTGCAAACTTGCGTTAAGAGTAATTGGTACATTTTGCTCGCTTGGTTTAGTAAAAAAACGTTACGTTCATCCAACAAAGCGTATCAGATGGTCTTCAAAGCGTCTAAAACACTTCAATGTCCTGATTAGAAAGGAATGAATCCGACTATTTTGTGTAGTTTTTACCGAAACCGACCATCCCATGTGCTTCCCAACATGTGCAGAGGTGTGAAAGTAGGCAAGGATATAACTTTTAACAAGCTCTCTTTTTTACATTCATTACTCAACTGCTCTGTCATTTCCAAGAGTACAGACTCAGGCTTTGTCTCGTCTGTGTGTGGCCTTTCAGAAACATGTTAGCCTCTGGACGTGGTCGAAGACTCTTTGCATGACCTGGGACGTAATCTAAAAGTTCTGTGCACTACTTTCCTGTCATTATATCAGTTTATTAGTGCAGATCAAAGGGGGCTTAGGTTTCCAAGTAGCTCATGTTCGGGGGGTTTATTGGTTAGAACATAAACTCCTTTTGCCAGACAAAAATGTTGATTTTCGACGAGTCTGCAAAACCCTGTATTACGTTCAATGCTGAATCTATTTTTGCTACAATGCATGTAAGGACGGTAATGTATAGTTAAAGGTAGGGGAGGATTGTGGTTATGGTTAGGTAAGTACACACTTCATTAAAGTTGGTCAAAATGCGGGAATTAGTCGATTTGTGACACGAAATAAACTCTGATTTCTACATTTGTACTTGTCCACTTCACTGTAAGTAAGCTAGAGTACTTCAATGACTACATAGGAGGTACAAAATTGCCCAAAATTGACATTATTCTGAGAGACACAGTGCTGATACATCATAATATTCCTAATCGATTATAATTTGTTGTACGAGACGACCGACATGGGAATGTTTTGATATCAGAAAGATGACAACAATCTCTTTCAAAGCAAATTTTTTAGGGTGTCACGTATTTAAAAAAAAAATGTTTGGCTACATATCCATACTTAAACAGCAGGAAGACAGCAATTCCTCCTAAAGTACGACCACAATGGAACAAAATCCTTCATGAAAATGCAATCCAGAAATTCCAGCGGTCCCCGCGTCCTCTGGAGGCCCCTCGAGTTTGTCTAATTTGACTCTGCGATGCACAGAAAAACTACATAAACACACACAAAGTCTCTCACGTCTCTCATGTTTACAACCCCCTC